TCACCCGTAAGGTGGAGGTGGTCACAACACCTGTTTTACAGCGTTGCTGAGGGCCTTAAGTGAAACCACACACATCAAAGGTTCAGCACAAGCCTCTCTAATCAGCTGTGATGAGGAGGAGGAGGAGGAAGACGGGGATGAAAGGGATGATGGTGAAGATTTTTTTTTTTTTTGAGACGGAGTTTCGCTCTTGTTACCCAGGCTGGAGTGCAATGGCGCGATCTTGGCTCACCGCAACCTCCGCCTCCTGGGTTCAAGCAATTCTCCTGCCTCAGCCTCCTGAGTAGCTGGGATTACAGGAACGCGCCACCATGCCCAGCTAATTTTTTTGTATCTTTAGTAGAGATGGGGTTTCACCATGTTGACCAGGATGGTCTTGATCTCTTGACCTCGTGATCCACCTGCCTCAGCCTCCCAAAGTGCTGGGATTACAGGCTTGAGCCACCGCGCCCGGCGATTTTTTTCCTTTTTCTTTTGAGATGGAGCCTCACTCTGTCCCCCAGGCTGCTGGAGTGCAGTGGCGCGATCTCAGCTCAATACCTCCGCCCCCACACCGGGTTCCAGCAATTCCCCTGCCTCAGCCTCCCCAGTAACTGGGATTACAGGCACCTGCCACCACACCCAGCTAAATTGTTTTGTATTTTTAGTAGAGACAGGTTTCACCATTTTGGTTAGGCTGGTCTCAAACTCCTGACCTCAGATGATCTACCCGCCTCGGCCTCCCAAAGTGCTGGGATGACAGGTGTGAGCCACGCGCCCAGCCGATGGTGAGGATTTCAATTCACCTCCACCCTTATCTTCAGATTCTCCTGCAGGCTGAAGCCTGAACCCCAGAGTCTAACCCCCATTTCAATTTCACATTGGCAAAGCATTCTGCCAAACACCATCTCACAGAAACAACAACAGCTGTGAGGTTTGAGTATGAGGTCAGGCGGGAGGAAATTCTGAGCACCCTCACTCGACAGATGAGCAAACTGCAGCTCAGCGTGGGGTGACGGACACCTCTCAGGCCACACAGGGAGACAGTCATAGAGCTGGGACAAAACCCAGACCTTCTCGCTGCCTTGCGGCCCCTTTTCACTGAGCTTCCCAGAGGGGACACAGAGGACTCTCTGGCATGTGGCATTTACTGTAAGACCAGGGTCCTGGCTTAGGAGCCTACATCCCCACGTGTCAGCTGACACATGTCCTGGCCCTTCCTTCTCAGCATGAAACCGGGCACTCTCCATTGAATGCAGCCACCAGTGGTCTGTGGTCCCGGCCCTGCCATGGTGCCCTGCTCAGCCTGGACTCGGGGAGGCTTGTGGGGCAGGCCTTCGGGTTTCATCCTGACACCTCTGCAGGATGCCTCTTGGGGAGACAGACCAAGACAAGGGCAGAGAGCAAGGCTGTGGAAGGCGTGACGTGGGGGGAGGAGTGGTCCTGCCAATACCACAGAGACCCGGCTTCCCTGGGGCCACCCCACTCGGCAGAAAGGAGGCGGACTGCAAAAGCAGATTCAGTCGTTGTGCAGCTGATATTTACCAGATGGGGTCTTTGTGGTGCTTTGGTCCCCCAGCCCTCTACTGTCTGATGGGAAAAGTCTTGTGGGTCCTGGTGGCCCCGGGCTGTGTACTTTGGGGAGCCGGGCCTGGCGCTGACTGGGGCTCTGCGGTGTGGGGACACGTGCCCAGTGTCTCACAGCTAACGAGCAGGAGATTTTCTTTCCTTTTGAGATGGAGTCTCGCTCTGTCACCAGGCTGGAGTGCAATGGCATGATCTCAGCTCACTGCAGCCTCCACCTCCTGGGTTCAGGCAATTCTCCCACCTCAGCCTCCCAAATAGCTGGGATTACAGGCACCCGCCAATATGGCAGGCTAATTTTTGTATTTTCAGTAGAGACAGGGTTTGACCATGTGGGCCAGGCTGGTCTCGAACTCCTGAATTCAGGTGATCTGCCCACCTCAGCCTCCCAAAGTGCTGAGATTACAGGCGTGAGCCGCCGTGCCCAGCCTGTCATGGATTTTCATCTGTGCAAAGTTCGCATGTTTTCCACCCTGGGCTGCCGTGAGAGTAAGAGTGATATCCATTCCAGCTGGAAGTCAGCACACTCGAGGCACAGGAAGACCCAGTGTTTCAGTCCTAGTCCGGAGGCTGGAAAAGGCCAGCCCCCGGCTCAGGCTCAAGTGGGCAGGTGGGAGGAGCTCCCGCTTACTCTGCCTTTGTGCTGATTCGGGTGTTCCTTGGACTGGATGAGGCCCATCCACACTGGGGAGCACGCTCTGTTTTACTCAGTCTGCCAACACAGATATCAGCCTCATCCCAAATGCCCCATATTGGTCAGGCTGGTCTTGAACTCCCAACCTCAGGTGATCAGCCCACCTTGGCCTCCTAAGTGCTTTGATTACAGGCGTGAGCCACCATGCCCGGTCATACAAAGAAATTTTTAAGAATGAGTTGAGTCGGCCGGAAGCGGTGGCTCACGCCTGTAATCCCAGCACTTTGGGAGGCCGAGGGGGGTGGATTACGAGGTCAAGAGATTGAGACCATCCTGGTCAACATGGTGAAACCCCGTCTATACTAAAAATACAGAAATTAGCTTGGTGTGGTGGCGTGTACCTACAGTTCCAGCTACTCGGGAGGCTGAGGCCGGAGAATCACTTGAACCTGGGAGGAGGAGGTTGCAGTGAGCAGAGATCGCACCACTGCACTCCAGCCTGGGCAACAGAGTGAGACTCCATCTCGAATAAAAAAAAGAAGAAAAGAAAGAAAAAGAAAAAGCCTAAATCTCTGGCTTCCCATTGGCTGCATACTTGGGTGGGAAGGCTCAGGCCATGCAAGAGCCAGATATCTGAATGCCTTGAACAATTGTCTGATTTGGTTCACAAGTCCCCGCTGTTCCCAAGGTCCCGGCAGGAAGCCTGGCAGGGGTGGCGACCTGCTTGGCCAAATAAGCAAGCCAAGCTGCAGAAACCTCAGTCTTGTATTATTCATATTTTTAACTAAAACATCCCCAAGAACTCAGGAACGGGGGCCACCTCCCTCCAGGCCCCCGTGTAAATAGCAATACTAGCAGAGTCCACTAGGTGGGGCAAGTGACACACCAGAAGGGGCAGAAATGCTGCCCCAGGAGGGAAGGCAGGTGCACGGGGACAGAGCCTTTTCGGGGCGATCCCAGGCTGGACAGCTGCTCCCTCCTGCCCCTTCTTGTGCAGCTTGTAACCAACGGTGTAAACATCAACCCTGAGGGCTACAGCACTTTAGGGGCTGTCACTCCAGCGTCTCTGGATTTCAAGGTCCTCACACCAAGGCGGTCCCTGGTGAACCACCATGCAAAACACCAGCCACAAAAACTACGAAGCCTCGGAGCGTGACACCCGTGATCTGCCTCCCAACAGAAGAAACCTGGTGGCCTGAGGAATTATCCGCGCACACGGGGGCGGGGAGGGGGGAGTCAGCAGGGTGGTCATGTGACAAGGACACGGACTGGGGACAGGGAGCAAAGAGGGAGGTGGCCCAGCCCGGGGACAGGCAGCGGGGAAGACCCTACCCCACACTGGGATTCTGGGGATGGGCGGCGGTGAAGACCCTGCCCGCACCAGGTTTCCGCAGCATCTTCCATAGCACTTTCGCACAGCTGCGTTGGGCCCTGAGTCCCCAGGCCGGGCTCTGAGCCCTGCTGTGGTCAGGAGCTGAGGGCAGGGATAGGAGCGAGTCTCCTTGCTCTCCCCTGGGTGGCCTCCGTTCAGGTCCCCAAACACCGGCTCTGCCTCGCTGGGTTACTATTTGTATCCTGAGCCTGATGCTTCTGGGGGCCAGGGTGAAAAACCTGCCCCTGCAGGTCAGCAACACTCCAGGATGCCAGCTGGGGGTCCCGACGCCGACCCTCACCCTCACCCTCACCAGCCCCACCACCTCCCACCGACCCCCCCTCCACCACCACCACCACCAGCCCTTCCCAAGCCTGCCCTGCTGGGCTGTGCTAAGCTCTGCCTCGGCCTCCGTTGCCATGGCAACAATGTGGCTTCCCCCAAGTGGGAAGCCCGTTGCCAAGGCCCTGGTTACCAAAGGCTACAACAGCCCCCCCACCCCCCAAGTGTGAAGAGGGGGGTAAGAGCTCTGCAGGGAGGTGGAGGGAGGCCAAGGAGGCTGGCAAGGGAAGGGGCAGGGGGTTCTTCAGAACGGGAGCGTCCAGGCAGCCTCGGCCGGAGTGGGGGGCACGGGCTGCCCCAGGAGGAAGAGGCGGCACATGGCGTCTCAGGGATCGGTCCTCTGGGGAAGCCAGAAGGCAGAACGGAGAGACCTCCACAAAACACGCCCCGACGACCAGACCAAGCGAGGCCGCGCACTCCCACCGCCCCTGCCACAGGACTGGCCTGGATGCTTCTCCCAGCTCCGGGCACAGTCCCCCGGAATCTGTTGCTCGTTCAAGTGTCTCAGACGTGCCCACACAGCTGCGCCCGGCCAGCCTGGCCTGTCACCGGGAACAGCGTTAATGGCCAGGACGGCAAATCCCCCAGGCTCTGTCCCCGCCGGCTCAGAGCACGCGCCACACCACTTCCCCAGCACAGCTCTCATCTCCGTCACCAAGGAGAGCGACGCTGCCGGCTTTATTCCCTTCCAGAGTGGACGGACCGGGCCGGAGGGGCCGCTCCTTGCACCCCACTGGGAAGGAGAGCCAGGCACTGCCTCGGCTTTGCGGGGGCGGCACCCGAACACCTGGAGCCCGCAGGCCTGTGTGCAGCCCCGGCCCAGCCTGGGTGTGGGGGGCGGGAGGGGGGGTCCTGGTCCTCCCAAGGAGGGGCTGACAGGGAACAGCTCCAAGAGGCGGGGAGGGGTCCGGAGGCCTGGGGGGCAGATGGGGGCAGAGAAGAGAGACGGGCAGTGCTGGCAAAGCAGGTGGGAGGGAGCCTGAGCCTGAGCGAGCCCCAGACGGGTCCCAGCGTCTCCAGTCCCATCCCCTCGAGACCACCGAGCAGAGCCGGCCCCCCACCCTCAGAAGGAAACGCGGGGGTACCTACCCCAGGAGCCAGCCCCTCGGGCGGAGTCGGGGAAACGCGGTCACCGCCGGCCTGGCTGCGGGCGCTGAGCTGCGGGGACATGGTGGGCGACTCGTCGATGTACGGCATGGCCTCTGAGCCCTCGGGGGGCCCCTTCTGCTCCTCATGCCCCTCGGCGTCGTAGTCATCGGCCGCGTAGCTGAAGTCTGAGACAAGGAACAAGAAAGGCCACTGAGAATCCTCCACCAGGGCCGCCAGGGACTGGTAGCGCAGTGGGCGCCGCCGACGGCCCCCGGCTGCCATGGCCCCGGCTGCACCATCCGCGCCGGCCCGGCAGGGTCTGCGCGGGGTCGGGACCGGCAGGGGCTGCGCGGGGTCGGGGAGGGCGGCTCGGCTGTGGCTCCCCACGGAGCAGCGCGGCAGCCGCGCGTTTCAAGCTGCCGTTTCCTCTGCCTTCTGCCGAGTTCTGAGTGTACAAATTAACAGAGGGAGCAGGAGGCAGGACGCGTCCAACTCTCCTCTCTGAGTCACCATTCTGCTTTTTATAGGGAATAGGGGGTGGGGGCGGGCCGGGCCATGTCACTTCCCGCGGCCCTCCTCCCCGGGGAGCCGTTTGTCCCGAGCCCACTCCCTCGGGGGGCCGCGGGGAGCCCTCAGCCCTCGGAATGGGGCCCTGCGCAGAGGACGGCGCCCGGGCAGCAGGGCGTGGGCGGGGAGGCGGTACCCAGGCCTGGCAGGGACGGGGCGCCCCGCAGACTCCTCGGAGCCAGCGCTGATTTCCATCACTCCAAGGCAGGTTTAGCTCAGAGGAGGGAGGAAGGCAGGCAGCCGGGGACCTGAGCCCATTAACACCCCCCACCTGGGGCTGCCAGCACCACTCGGGCTCCAGAGCCCAGGCCCGGCGCACCCCCCTGCAGTGAGGGGTGTGCAGGACAGTGAGGGGTGTGCAGGGCAACACCGGGGCCTTCACACCTTCCCAGGTTACTAGGGCGGCCTCGGAAAGGCCCCTGCACCCAGGAAGACCCTCCCACCGGCCCCAGCCCCTTGGCCTGTTTGCCTCTGCCAGCCGTGACCCCCAAAGCCAGGAATGGAGAGTGTGGGGTACTGCTTCTGGTGCTGGCGGAGGTATGGACGCCCCCCACACTCACCACGGAGCAGGGGTAAGACTCCGCACAGAGCGGGCACTGCCAGCCGCGGGTACTGGAGACACCATCACTGTGCCAGTCCCCCAGATTCCCTGGCAGCCCTGGGGCCAGCAGAGCCTCCTACACAAGGGACTGCCCAGTGGCGGCAGCAGCGTCCACTTGTTAATCTCTCCCCGAGAAACTCCAGGCTGACTCCCGCCAGGCAGCTTTGGGTCCTGCTCCGTGTGAGGGGCACTGGCTGGGCCTGTCCTGTCTGCCAGCATGGATTCCCCCAGCTCGTCCTCCCCACAGCACACGGCCTCCTGGCGCCCTAGTGAGTCCTGCCCCTTTGTCCTTGACCCCCTGGGGCAGGAGGTGCGTGCCCCAGCACCCATGAACCAACCTGTGGCAGGCTGTTGGGGAAGCACATGGAGCGAATGAATGAGTGGAGGAACGCACCGTCTGTCGGGTCTGAGGCTTCTGCCAAGTTCTCCACCAGGCCCAGCCCTTCCCTCTTCTGCTACAACACACCAGCCCGCAGGCAGCTGCAGCCGGAGAACAGTGTCAACAGGTCACCAGGACACCTGGCCACGGCCATGCTCCAATCTGGCCTTTTGGCAGCTGAGCGCCACCCCAGGCTTGCTGCACCTGCTCCTGTCGGCTGCCTGTCCCCGTCCCTCAGATGAGGCCCCATTCAGCTGCCAGGGACATGGACTGTCTCTTCCCTAGTCCGGCGCGTGCATGAACCACAGGACCCAGAGACGCCCCTCCCCCACTGAGACGCGTGTACACCACACACCTGGGCGGGACCCAGAGACACCCCTCCCCCGCTGAGACGCGTGTACCCCTCACACCTGGGCGGGACCCAGAGACGCCCCTCCCCCACTGAGATGCGTGTACCCCTCACACCTGGGCAGGACCCAGAGACGCCCCTCCCCCACTGAGATGCGTGTACCCCTCACACCTGGGCGGGACCCAGAGACGCCCCTCCCCCACTGAGATGCGTGTACCCCTCACACCTGGGCGGGACCCAGAGACACCCCTCCCCCACTGAGATGCGTGTACCCCGCACACCTAGGACATTAGGCCCAGTCCCCGGAGACCAGGACGCCTGTGCCTGTGGATGTCGGGATGTGAACTGGTCCTTCCAGGGAAGGAGGAAGAGGCGTAGCAGCACCCAGTTGGCCAGAGTCTGTCCCCATGAGTGACACAGAAAAGCCGGGGAAACCGACCCTCCGAGAAGGCAGGAGCCCTGGGGAAGGAAGATGGGAACCTCCTGGGCAAAGGCTTCAGGCTCCGAAGACCACGGGTGGGCATGCTGCGTAGACAGTGGCTTGGGCACCACAGCTCAAGAAAGAGCTAGCTCATGTGTCTCAGATGCGCCCACACAAGCTGTGCCTGACAAGGCTGCTGGCTGGCAATATCCATTTCCCCTCCAACTAACAGAAACCCTACTGTACTCGGAGTGGCAGTGCACCCGGCAGCCAGTTAAAAAACACCTTTCGTGACGGTGTGGGCCATATGATTAAGTTCTGGCCAACGAGATGTTAAATGGATAGGTGTGGAATTTTGAAAGAGACTGATTTAGCCAAAAGGTTCACTACCTGTGCCGTCCTTGTTCCTCCTTCTGTTCCTGGTTTGGAGAGCAGATAGGATGGCTGGAGCTCCAGTAGCCATCCTGAACCATGAGGTAAGCCAGAGGCTAGAGGCCAGCACTGAGGATGGCTAGGCAGAAAGCTCAGAGTCCAGGCCACTGACGGCACAGTGGAGCCCACCCCAGGACGACTGATCTACCTCAGGACATTTTTACACAACAGAAAGAAAAAATGCCAATGCTTTTAAAACCACTGGTTCTTGGTTTTTCTGTTATCTGCAGTGAAACCTAATGTAACCAACTGATCCAGGCGATTAGCCTTGACATCCCCGCTTGGGTGCTGTTCCTGTGACCTTCACTCTTCCTTCCCAGGCTCCTTGGCCAAATATTATTTCTCTAACCACTCCTTAAAAATTGCTGTTCCCAGGGAGGGGAACATCACACACCAGGGCCTGTTGGGGGGTGGGGGGCAAGGGGAGGGAGAGCATTAGGACAAATACCTAATGCATGCGGGGCTTAAAATCTAGATAATGGGGCCGCGTGCAGTGGCTCACACCTGTAATCCCAGCACTTTGGGAGGCCGAGGCAGGCAGATCTTCTGAGGTCAGGAGTTTGAGACAAGCCTGACCAACATGAAGAAACCCCATCTCTATTAAAAACACAAAAATGAGCTGGGTGTGGTGGTGAGAGCCTGTAATCACAGGTACTCGGGAGGCTGAGGCAGAAGAATCACTTGAACCCAGGAGGTGGAGGCTACAGTGGGCTGAGATTGTGCCACTGCACTCCAGCCTGGGCAACAAGAGCAAAAATCTGTCTAAAAAAAAAAACAAGACAAAAAATCCTAGATGATGGGTTGATATGTGCAGCAAAGCTCCATGGCACATGTATACCGATGTAACCAACTGCACACTCTGCACATGTATCCCAGAACTTAAAGGAAAATAAAAAATCAGTGTCCCTTACAGATCCTTAGAAGAGAATATCGTCCATCAGTGAAAGGGTACAGCAGCACAAATGGCCCCCAGACATGACCCCGCACGGAAGACGCGGCACGAAGGGCATATCCTCCACGCTTCTGCGCATGCGACACTCTGCACACACACAACCAATCCATGGCTGAAAAAACTCAAACTCACGGTTCCCTCTGGGGGTGGTGTGGGGACGTGAGTCCACTATACTGGGAACGAGGAAACTGGGCTGAAAATTCTCCGTATCTGGACGGGGCTTGAGATACACAAACAAATGTGTTCATCAATATCTATCAGGTGGTGCACTGACAACGTATGCGCTTCGATAAACACTGAGCTCTAGCGAACGACGTGCTGGAATGCCGAAGAGAAGTGCACCACTCTGCAACTTACTCTGAAATACATTAAAAAGAAGCTGGCTGGGCGCAGTGGCTCATGCCTGTCATCCCAGCACCTGGGAGGCCGAGGTGGGCGGATCACCAGGTCAGGAGTTCAAGACCAGCCTGGCCAACATGGTGAAACCCTGTCTCTACAAAAAACACAAAACTTAGGTGGGCATGGTGGCAGGCACCTGTAATCCCAGCTACTTGGGAGGCTGAGACAGGAGAATCGCTTGAACCCGGGAGAAGGGAGTTGCGGGGAGCTGTGATTGCGCCACTGCACTCCAGCCTGGGCGACAGAGTGAGACTTTGTCTCAATAAAACAAAACAAAACAACAAAAAACAGGTGGAATGCTGCTGTCCACAGGGAGGGAAAGACGGATAGTGTCTGATCAAGCAAGTGTGGAAAAGCGGTTGCTGCCGAACTAGACAGCAGGTGAGTGGTGTCCACTATGGAATCTTCCAACTTCTCTGTGTTTAAAGTTTGTCATAGGAAGAGGATGGTAGTGGTCGGGGACTCGTCCTCGCCAGGCTTCCGTCACCCTCCTTCACCTTCCTCTCCCACACCATGTTCATACTCCCGGGAGAAGTGTGGGCTGCGGGCTCCTGGGCATCTCCACCTTCGGGAACCTCAAACTCAGCCTTTTCCTGAAGTTAATGCCCCAGACCACTCACACAGGAAAGCTGGGAGTCATTCAGATGCCAGGTGCCTCCCACTGCTGCCCCTCACCCCTGTACTGTGAAGTGACAGCCCCCTGGCCAATTCTCACAAGGACAATTCCAGACTCTCCCCACAGTGCCGGCTGTGCTGGCTCGCAAATCAGACCGTGTCCCTACCTGGTTCCATAGCTACCCGTCCACAGCTGCCCATCCACAGCTGCCCATCCACAGCTCCCCGTCCACAGCTTCCCATCCACAGCTCCCCGTCCACAGCTGCCCATCCACAGCTCCCCGTCCACAGTTGCCCGTCCACAGCTCCCCGTCCACAGCTGCCCGTCCACAGCTCCCCATCCACAGCTGCCCGTCCACAGCTCCCCGTCCACAGCTGCCCGTCCACAGCTCCCCGTCCACAGTTGCCCGTCCACAGCTCCCCGTCCACAGCTGCCCGTCCACAGCTGCCCATCCACAGCTGCCCGTCCA